AGACAGACAGACAAACAGACGGACAGACAGACAGACAAACAGACGTTGCCGTTTATATATAGTAGGATTGCTTAACGGTGGATGGGTTCTTGTAGTCCCTAGCCTGTTGGAAGTATTAACGATAATTGTCCACAACGTGTGATATGCCCCTTCTATTCAGTCCCTTTTAGCACATCTCGTCGAAGAAGCAGGAGTCAATCTCCCACTTCATCGTATAGGAAAGAGACAGAATGATTCCTGTTCCCTTCACACAACAGCACAGCAAATAAAAGAATCAGAGCTCTTTGTGGCTCGTTACAGAAGAAAAGAGGCAAAAATATGCAAAATATGGAAAAATGTGGACCACACGTAACGTCGACTAGTTTGTACTTGTATGTGGTAGAAACAGTACTATCGAAAGGATTCAGTTGCTCGCAATACGCCGTTGAAACCAGTTATTCCGCAGAGGATTGAAAATCTATCGAACTCAATCATACCTGAAGAAGAAGCTATCTGTGAGCCCGACGCAAGCCATGTGTCGACAATCGTGAAATCAATTTGTTCTTCTGACGAACGTCCAATCTACAACATATAAACTATTCAAAAAAACTGTTGAGAGCTGAAAACTAAAAAAAACAAACCTGGAACATGTCCTTAAATGGATCAGCCACATACTCGACGAGCACCGTCTGGTTTTTACTATAAGAGTAAGACACCACGTGACGAGTTTTGTCCTGTACAGCCTGAAATTCATAAATATATGGGGAATACTATTGAGTAGTGCTCAATGCTTAACAGTGGAAAGAAAAGAAAGCAAAGAGGGCATAGACGGATAAATTTCATGAATTAACACTCACCGGCGCATCTTTGGCAGCAACGTTCACTTGTGACACGGAGCCCTTCTTGATGCCGTTACCAGCCTTCCTTCGCATCAAAGCCATCTTGGTACGATGTCGTTTTAATGGCACAGACGCCTTGCTATCTTGGCTACCATTATACCTAAACTAATGTGAGTAGGATCTTGCAGCAGCCTTTTCAGAAAACTCCAGGGTACCGACAGAATGCCAAGTCAGGTGAGACTAACTATTACATTTTCTATGGCATAAGCTACATTCGTCCGAAAGGTCATGTACTTGGGCGAAAACATTTTCACGAGGCCACTATGTTTCTCACTTTTGTAAATCTAGTTCGCTATAGATGAAGAGGCGTGTCAGGCAGTATGAGCGTGCCACGGCACCAGACCGTGGCAGTTGCTGAAGCGGCCTATGGGACAATTGGTAGAAAACGAGTGATACAAACGGTATGATACAGTCTTATCACTTGCTCGATTCAGAACGGGTTTGGCACCGCGCAAAATCATCCTGCACCACAACAAACTAGACTATGACTCTACCATTCTGATCTCCGAACATTTGATTTCAATATTACTATTCACCTAAAGTTAATGGAAACAAATTAAAGGCACAACGAGCAATTTTCCCGCTTGAAACGTCTACAGCATTCAAGGCGAAGGGGCGACTTCTTTGCAGGCGATGCTTAAAGACTGTTCCCGAAATCAAGTGATCAGCGAAAAACCTCCACGTATTTAACATCTAGGCAACAATCGTTAGGTTGGGGAATCCCACAGGGGGTTCGCTATTGCACGACAAGGAAGAAGGGGGGGGTCGTCATGAGTGCGGTTAAGCCAGTAACGAGCGTTCAGTGTGATGGAGTAATGTACGCGAAAGCCCTTTGCCTTTTGTCGAGAACAACGGATTATGTAAAAAATAGTATAAAACTTTCATTAATCAAACTTCCTTAAACTGGAAATCATAAACAAGTCGAACATCCAATTCGTAAAGTGACTTAAACAGTAACAACTCATTAACTCTTGTTCGCGTGGTGATGGGGCCGCTGGTCCGTGATCGCGCTTGGGGGCTGTAGCCCAACCTGTTTTTTTTCCGACAAACCGAACAGGACTCATAAGTCGTTCGATCAGACGTTTTTTCCCAGCAATCTGGGTCTCCCTTCATTCGGAAATCAGCAATCTCTGGGACGAAGCCACCGAATATGAGGCGTCGACTAAGGGACACGCCATCATAACGCAAACCGGATCAATAACTGTAAAGCAAGTGCCAAACAGGTTCGGCGATGGAACCCTCCTAAATCTACAGACACATTTGCTCGCGTGGGACATGGCATAACCGGCAAAAAGTTGCCATCCCATTAATTCTGCGCGGAACCTCAGTGCTGCGCGCAATTCAAAGTCAGCCGTGATTACGTCCCCGCTAAACGAAATTTAATATTCCTGCTCCTGCTCCACCAACGGAATAAGTTTTTCAATCGTTTCCTTGGTTATTCGAACGGGGCGCTCACTTGGAAAGGTACAAACTAAAAAAAAAGGAAAACGGGTTTTTTCGGCGCAGCTGGGAGCGTGAGTTCCTCCAAGAAAATCCCCATCGCGGAGATCTGATAAATCCCGAGATTTTCAAAAGCAGTTATAGAGGTTTTTAGAAAGAAAAAAATCTTCAAACACTCGAAACCGTTCTCAGATAAAAAATATATTGATTCAACCTGTTCAGTTGAAAATCACTCCCTAACGGAATCCCTGGCATGATTTCCCTGCAGTTTTTTTGCGACCTTCATAAATGTATATCATGTAAACTTTTTAGGAAGTGGCAACCTTCCTCTCCACGAAATACGAATCCTCCTACCTTTCCCCACAGGTCCGCTTTTGAGGAAGTTATGGTCCTTCAAAGACACCCCACTTTGCTGAAACTCTCGCGTTCCACATGGCTTGGTCCTGCCCAGAATCCCTCCCGTACCTCGGCCTTTTAATTCAGCCCCCCTGATTGCGGCCCGGCTTGTTGCTCTCATTCAAATATTTGAACTCCTTTCGTGTTTTATAACTTCTTCTGGGTTTATTCCGAATATGACATTATCTTCTTCTATTTAACTCGAATACGCGTCAGAAAGAGCGCCCCACAGCCATTTTGCATTGAAACCGCTCAGCGTTTGCTTTTTAGGAAGAAGTCGGCTACTTTACCTGTTTTTTTCTTCTTTAATTGCAATTGATTCAGGTACCAGAGTTTGTTTTGACTCGAGGAAAGGTGGGTGAAACCTAATGGCCTTTCTTTTCTATTCTCTTTTCTGAATCAGGATAGAAATGAGCAAAAAGCGAGGGGGGCTCGTTCAGGATTGTTACTTTTCCATTTTTCGCGCTTACTTATACATAAACTTATGAAGTTTCTTCCCCCTCCTCGGAGTGAGGGGAAAGAAATTTCAAATAAGTTATATTTATGGGGGGGGGTCGTCAACCGAAGCCCCCAAAAAGGGGGGGAGGTCGTACGGGCTCCGATCAAGAATCCCCAACTAATGCTGTTGCTTGATTTAACAGTCCTAGGTCTGCTTTCGCACAGCAAAAGGTTTTGCTTTCGCCCTCGAAACGGTGATATTAATTAAAGCGCGTCACTCTACTGCAACGTTTTTGCACACTTTGGGCTTCCAGGGGCCGCACCTTAAATACTACTTCCCTCCAAAGGGGAAGATTCCCCTCCTCACCCACGCAATCCCGCTCTCTGTTTTGTTCTCTATCAGTGCGGCGTCCACGTCTCATCCGCCTCTGGCTCTACTGCATCTAATGTCCCTCCGCCATAATCGCGGTGAACGGTCTCCACGAACATTCGCTTGGAATGAGGAGGGGGAGCATTTCATCGAATGATTATTCTGCGCTATTTCGCACAGAAAGCCATCCGCGTCAAAGAGATCTGGATGCAAAAGAGCGGTGAGAGCCAGAGAGATGAAGGGGGCATCAGTAGAGGCAACGGCAGGGATAGGAGATTTACAAGGGAGATCTTCCTTCGAAGGGGTATATGCATCGGCCCCAGGGCAACTCGTAAGCTAACCGAGAGAGTTCGACGAAGATAAGATTTTGTGCTAAGACATATTGAGACGATAGTACGAGCTGCCATAGGCAACATAAAGGATACACGTAAATTCACCGTGTCCGTATGGTCTTGGATAGAAACCGAATAAAGAACAAGTGTGGCAAGAATCACGCGTTTACGATAGCTTACTTTCGTCCCTTTCGTACAAGAATGGTACACCTATGCAGATTGGGCGGACCTATTCAAATGATTCCCGCCAAGACATTTCCGCTGAATCACTTGATCGCGCGCGTACAATTGTCTTCCGGCAGAAAATACTGACCAATAAATAACGCTCAAATGTTTTTAGCATTTTCACAAGCTGCTTTACCCTAGACGAAAACAGCGGTCAGGGGTTGAAAAAAGCAATAAGTTAGTACAACGGAGAACCGCCAACCGTTTAACGAAAACGTGCCGCGGCTTCGGCGAAATTCTTGCGTATTGATTTCGCTGGCTCCGCCCCATGGGAAAAAATGGCCAGGCCGCTGGGCTAGCTTTTTCGCCCCAACGTCCGCGAACTGCTTATTGTCGATACCTATTCATAAACCGTTTTCGCGCAAAAAACCGCCACACTCTTTCGCTCAACCGGCCACATTCGATATGTTATAGAGAAGCCTTTTTACCGAAAGCTTTCTTTCCTTTCCGCAGAAGAAACTGGGTTTTTTGAGACTGGCATACCTGCCTAACCACGCACGAGTATGGAATTCAACTGGCAGGTCCGGCAAAATGTTACTGGAATGACTTTTGGGTCGGCCAACAAACTCGGCCACGCAACAACATCCCACCTAGGACGCCTACTAGTAACATACTAAAGAATGCGTTGGCTTAGGAGGTTTTGGTTTAGTAATCTATTTCCGAATTTCAACCAGTTTGATGGCTCTTCCCAAACTAATTGTGACGAAAACTAGTTGCGAAGCCCAGCTAAAATCCTCACACGAGGGGAAAACCTCATGATTCCCTAGAGAATGGTGTAAACGGTATGACAAGCGCTGAGCGACAGAAACCTCACAAGGTCAAAAATACGTCAAAAATTGCCTTTATTCCAAGTACATCGTTGAAGTTCTGGTTATAATACATCCAAATAGTAAATACTCACCCTAGTAGGATAAGTTCGCCGTATTTCCCGTCATCGTCATCAAAGTTCCCAGCCGACATCAGTATTCCAGACTCGTTGACGTCTATGTGAGCATTTTCGATGTCTCGTGAATCTATTGAGACACCGTCGTGCTCATCCACACTCATCTGAAAGAAATAACACTTGTTATTAGTGGGTAACTTCATTGAAACAACAAAGTAACGATCAAGTGGCAATGTTCGCGATCTTCGGGCTCAGAATGCGAAAGCAGAATGATCTGACAAAAAATACAAATTTGAAGAAATGAAAGAAATACTCAGCACTATCGAAAAGCATTAAAAGCATAGTGAAAATGAGTACAGCCTCCTCAGAACAGCCGAAAATTTTCGCATCAATGGAACAGCCAATTCAGAAGAAATTCAACCAGAGACAACTTCGCCCAAACCATGCAGGAGCAGAAACACCTGAGCGGTTGGATTTTCAGAAAACGGTGAATCGCTTGGTACGCAAGGGAACTATTACGCACAGACTCGCGACAAAGCCACAATGGCTGTTCGCGTAGAAGGAGAAGGAATGTTTGCATTTAGATTTGTTTCTTGTGGAAAAAACTACAATGGGACACAAAGTTCTTAATGGATTCGAAGTGGAAAGGGCCTTCTGTTGGTTCAAGAACCGGTTAAACTGGTAGAAACGCACTATCGAGTAAATGGTATGATCTGAGTTGTTTTTCTTTAGGAGCTGGAAATAACAGCGCTCGGCAGAATTCCGATACCTGAACTGAAATGTGCTCCTTGATACAAACGCGACTTAGTTTCTATTTTCGAAATATTCCCCAAGACAACTACATAGACTTCAAAGGTGCATTTCACGCTTTCGGGGCGGAAGTCACTTGGACCGTAGCAGAGCCCTCATCGGTGCACTCTTGCGCATGAGATACTAATATGTGACTGACAAGGCGAGA